TATACGTATATATACATTTGTTTTTCTGGTTTTACTGGTCATGTGCGACCAAAACTGATGAGGACATTCATACCTGGCTAGTGAAGAGGGATTGTGTTTCAGATCCAGAGGTGAAAAAGCTACTGAGGCTCTGTAAATCTTCAAGTGTCAAACTCGTTAATTGAAGGAACGAATTGGTATTATTGTTGTTTTCTGGTTTTTCTTCTTCTTCCCCCCCATTCTTCAATACTATTACTTTCAGCTCTCGACAATGATGAACCTCAAGTCGATCTAGTTTCGGTAATTGTCAAGGCATATTGGACGAACCGACATTCACCAATTTCTCACAGCTCCCGATGGTCACGTCTCTCAACTGTCGAAAACAGTCTGATAGAAGTAATTTCCTATCCCATATCTCTGTTATCATTGTTAGTCCATCAATATCCAATGTCTCCAAGGCAGGGAATGTAACCTGCAACATTCATAACAAAATTGTTAAACGTTAGACTCCGAGGTCAGCATTATAACAAGCAGTACAATGTAGCCCAATAAATTTATGTTAGTCTTAATTAGTCAATAATTGAAGTCCAATAAATTGATTTTACTATGTTCCAATTAATGCCAAAACTTAAATTGTTGATTCCATAACAGCTAATATGATTTTGTTTTATGTAATGGAAACTATAATAGATTGGAAGTAACAAATCTTTTTGTTGCATTGGTGCAACCTTTTGTCCTCAATGAGAAATAGGTGTTGTGCACGAGTTGGTTTGATTGTTTTGACAACAAATCATCAATTGAATATATTAGGAAAATTTCAACCAACAATATATCCACCATTTCTCAAAATTGATGGGTTCGGCAGATTAAAAGTACAAAATGAGAGAAAATCAGGCTTCACAATATTTTCACATTTCATCGTGATTTTTTCTATTTGACTTTGATAATCTGTGTTTTATGATTTTATGAAAGGGAATCCTTTGCCTCCAATTGAAATTTCAACTGGACCAGACAGTTGAGATCTCTTACCGATAAAAGTCATTAAACGGAGGTCTCTTACTGCTGCGAGTTTATGAAAAGATTTAACTAAACGAAGAGTTAAAATAATGGGCCAATGCATTTCATAAACTCTTACTGGTAAGAGACCTCCGTTTAATGACTGTTATCGGCAAGAGACCTTAACTCTCTGTTGCGTTTGAACTTTCAACTACAGAAAAGACAAATCCCTTATAAAAACACACCATTTCATGTTTATTTAAAACCTTGAATTTTACTATTTTAATTTTTCAAGTTTTTAGAGAGTAATATCCAAGCTAATGTCAAAGTATTAAATTGGAAAATATGAAAGATTCAAAAGAAATACACAAATCAATACATGGCCAACACGGGTGCCTTTCGGGCCGTGGCAGTCCACCATGGGTCACGTTTTGATGATTTAAATTTTTCATTTTGTAAAGTCCTTAGTGTATATCATCTAAATAAAAAAGATCGATCCAATAATCTTAGCCTATTTAATTTATTACAATTGCATCTGAAAAAATGAATGATAAGTGTGCTTAAAAAACCAAAAAAAAAATTCTATAAAATAAAAACCTTCATTTTTTTTAATGACAAACACGATAAATTGAAAAGGCTAAAATTATCAAATTGATTTAGGTTTTTTTGCGGATGATATAAACGAAGAATCCTAAAAAATGCATGGATCGAATAATTAAAAAGAGAATCGTAGTGGGCCCACGGGCCCGAACAACACATTTGAGTCTAGATTATTGACACGAGAGAAGCCTAATCTAAGAAAAATAGAAACATACATACATATATATATATATATACACGTATATATACATTTGTGTTTTTGGTTTTACTGGTCCTGTGCAACTACAACTGATGAGGACATTCATACCTGGCTAGTGAAGAGGGATTGTGTTTCAGATCTATAGGTGAAAAAGCTTTTGAGGCTCTGCAAATCTTCAAGTGTCAAACTCGTTAATTGAAGGAACGAATTGGTAATATTGTTGTTTTCTGCTTTTTCTTCTTCTTCCCCCCCATTCTTCAATACTATTACTTTCAGCTCTCGACAATGACTAACATCAAGTCGTTCTAGTTTCGGTAATTGTCGAGGCATATTGGACGAACCGACATTCACCAATTTCTCACAGCTCCCGATGGTCACGTCCCTCAACTGTCGAAAAGAGTCTGATGGAAGTAATTTCCTATCCCATATCTCTGTTATCATTGTTAGTCCATCAATATCCAATGTCTCCAAGGCAGGGAATGTAACCTGCAACATTCATAACAAAATTGTTAAACATTATACTCCGAGGTCAGCATTATAACAAGCAGTACAATGTAGCCCAATAAATTTATGTTAGTCTTAATTAGTCAATAATTGAAGTCCAATAAATTGATTTTACTATGTTTCAATTAATGCCAAAACTTAAATTGTTGATTCCATAACAGCTAATATGATTTTGTTTTATGTAATGGAAACTATAATAGATTGGAAGTAACAAATCTTTTTGTTGCATTGGTGCAACCTTTTGTCCTCAATGAGAAATAGGTGTTGTGCACGAGTTGGTTTGATTGTTTTGACAACAAATCATCAATTGAATATACTAAGAAAATTTCAACCAACAATATATCCACCCTTTCTCAAAATTGATGGGTTCGGCAGATTAAAAGTACAAAATGAGAGAAAATCAGGCTTCACAATATTTTCACATTTCATCGTGATTTTTTCTATTTGACTTTGATAATCTGTGTGTTTATGATTTTATGAAAGGGAATCCTTTGTCTCCAATTGAAATTTCAACTGGACCAGACAGTTGAGATCTCTTACCGATAAAAGTCATTAAACGGAGGTCTCTTACTGCTGCGAGTTTATGAAAAGATTTAACTAAACGAAGAGTTAAAATAATGGGCCAATGCATTTCATAAACTCTTACTGGTAAGAGACCTCCGTTTAATGACTGTTATCGTTAAGAGACCATAACTCTCTGTTCCGTTTGAACTACAGAAAAGACAAATCCCTTATAAAAACACACCATTTCATGTTTATTTAAAACCTTGAATTTTACTATTTTAATTTTTCCAGTTTTTAGATAGTAATATCCAAGCTAATGTCAGAGTATTAAATTGGAAAATATGAAAGATTCAAAATAAATACACAAATCAATACATGGCCAACAAGGGTGCCTTTCGGGCCGTGGCAGTCCACCATGGGTCACGTTTTGATGATTTAAATTTTTCATTTTGTAAAGTCCTTAGTGTATATCATCTAAAAAAAAAAGATCGATCCAATAATCTTAGCCTATTTAATTTATTACAATTGCATCTGAAAAAATGAATGATAAGTGTGCTTAAAAAAACAAAAAAAAAAAATTCTATAAAATAAAAACCTTCATTTTTTTTAATGACAAACACGATAAATTGAAAAGGCTAAAATTATCAAATTGATTTAGGTTTTTTTGCGGATGATATAAACGAAGAATCCTAAAAAATGCATGGATCGAATAATTAAAAAAAGAGTCGTAGTGGGCCCACGGGCCGAACAACACATTTGAGTCTAGATTATTGACACGAGAGAAGCCTAATCTAAGAAAAATACAAACATACATACATATATATATATACGTATATATACATTTGTGTTTCTGGTTTTACTGGTCCTGTGCAACTAAAACTGATGAGGACATTCATACCGGGCTAGTGAAGAGGGATTGTGTTTCAGATCTATAGGTGAAAAAGCTTTTGAGGCTCTGCAAATCTTCAAGTGTCAAACTCGTTAATTGAAGGAACGAATTGGTATTATTGTTGTTTTCTTCTTCTCCCCCCCCCCCCATTCTTCAATACTATTACTTTCAGCTCTCGACAATGACTAACATCAAGTCGTTCTAGTTTCGGTAATTGTCGAGGCATATTGGACGAACCGACATTCACCAATTTCTCACAGCTCCCGATGGTCACGTCTCTCAACTGTCGAAAAGAGTCTGATGGAAGTAATTTCCTATCCCATATCTCTGTTATCATTGTTAGTCCACCAATATCCAATCTCTCCAAGGCAGGGAATGTAACCTGCAACATTCATAACATAATTGTTAAACATTAGACTCCACGTTCAGCATTATAACAAGCAGTACAATGTAGCCCAATAAATTTATGTTAGTCTTAATTAGTCAATAATTGAAGTCCAATAAATTGATTTTACTATGTTCCAATTAATGCCAAAACTTAAATTGTTGATTCCATAACAGCTAATATGATTTCGTTTTATGTAATGGAAACTATAATAGATTGGAAGTAACAAATCTTTTTGTTGCATTGGTGCAACCTTTTTCCCTCATTGTGCAATAGCTGTTGTGCACGAGTTGGTTTGATTGTTTTGACAACAAATCATCAATTGAATATATTAAGAAAATTTCAACCAACTATAAATCCACCCATTCTCAAAATTGATGGGTTCGGCAGATTAAAAGTACAAAATGAGAGAAAATTAGGCTTCACATTATTTTCACATTTCATGATGATTTTTTCTATTTGACTTTGATAATCTGTGTTCTATGATTTTATGAAAGGGAATCGGTTGTCCCCAATTGAAATTTCAACTGGACCAGACAGTTGAGATCTCTTACCGATAAAAGTCATTAAACGGAGGTCTCTTACCGCTGCGAGTTTATGAAAAGATTTAACTAAACGAAGAGTTAAAATAATGGGCCAATGCATTTCATAAACTCTTACTGGTAAGAGACCTCCGTTTAATGACTGTTATCGGTAAGAGACCTTAACTGTCTGTTCCGTTTGAACTTTCAACTACAGAAAAGACAAATCCCTTATAAAAACACACCATTTCAGGTTTATTTAAAACCTTGAATTTTACTATTTTAATTTTTCAAGTTTTTAGATAGTAATATTCAAGCAAATGTCAAAGTATTAAATTGGAAAATATGGAAGATTCAAAATGAAAACACAAATCAATACATGGCCAACAAGGGTGCCTTTCGGGCCGTGGGAGTCCACCATGGGTAACGTTTTGATGATTTAAATTTTTCATTTTGTAAAGTCCTTAGTGTATATCATCTTAAAAAAAAGATCGATCCAATAATCTTAGCCTATTTAATTTATTACATTTGCATCTGAAAAAATGAATGATATGTGTGCTTAAAAAAATATATATATATAAAATAAAAACCTTCATTTTTCTTAATGACAAACACGATAAATTGAAAAGGCTAAAATTATCAAATTGATTTGATTTTTCTTGCGGATGATATAAACGAAGAATCCTAAAAAATGCACGATTCAAATAATTAAAAAGAGAGTCGTAGTGGGCCCACGGGCCCAAACAACACATTTGAGTCTAGATTATTGACACGAGAGAAGCCTAATCTAAGAAAAATACAAACATACATATATATATATATATACGTATATATACATTTGTGTTTCTGGTTTTACTGGTCCTGTGCAACTAAAACTGATGAGGACATTCATACCTGGCTAGTGAAGAGGGAATGTGTTTCAGATCTATAGATGAAAAAGCTGCTGAGGCTCTGCAAATCTTCAAGTGTCAAACTCGTTAATTGAAGGAACGAATTGCTATTATTGTTGTTTTCTGCTTTTTCTTCTTCTTCCCCCCCATTCTTCAATACTATTACTTTCAGCTCTCGACAATGACTAACCTCAAGTCGTTCTAGTTTTGGTAATTGTCGAGGCATATTGGACGAACCGACATTCACCAGTTTCTGACAAATTCGGATGGTCACGTTTCTCAATTGTTGAAAAGACTCTGATGGAAGTAATTTCCTATCCCATATCTCTTTATGATTGTTAGTCCATCAATATCCAATCTCTCCAAGGCAGGGAATGTAACCTGCAACATTCATAATATAATTGTTAAACATTAGACTCCAAGGTCAGCATTATAACAAGCAGTACAATGTAGCCAAATAAATTTATGTTGATCTTAATTAGTCAATAATTAAAGTCCAATAAATTGATTTTACTATGTTCCAATTAATGCCAAAACTTAAATTGTTGGTTCCATAACAGCTAATATGATTTTGTTTTATGTAATGGAAACTATAATAGATTGGAAGTAACAAATCTTTTTGTTGCATTGGTGCAACCTTTTGTCCTCATTGTGCAATAGGTGTTGTGCACGAGTTGGTTTGATTGCTTTGACAGCAAATCATCAATTGAATATATTAAGAAAATTTCAACCAACTATAAATCCACCCTTTCTCAAAATTGATGGGTTCGGCAAATTAAAAATACAAAATGAGAGAAAATCAAGCTTCACATTATTTTCACATTTCATCGTGATTTTTTCTATTTGACTTTGATAATCTGTGTTCTATGATTTTATGAAAGGGAATCGTTTGTCTCCAATTGAAATTTCAACTGGACCATACAGTTGGGATCTCTTACCTGTAAAAGTCATGAAACAGAGATCTCTTACCGCTGCGAGTTTGTGAAAAGATTTAACTGAACGAAGAGTTAAAATAATGGGCCAATGTATTTCATAAACTCTTACTGGTAAAGGAGCTCCGTTTAATGACTGTTATCAGTAAGAGACCTTAACTGTCTGTTCCCTTTGAACTTTCAACTACAGAAAAGACAAATTCCTTATAAAAACACATCATTTCAGGTTTACTTAAAATACAGATTGCCTATGTAATTTTAGAAATTACATCTTGCACTTTTAAGTTTCCAGTTGTATAACAAATCACTTATTTCATTAATAAAATTATCAAGTCAATTAATATTTTTAATAATGTCATAAATATATTTCAATTTACTATTCAAGTAATTTTATTATTACATAAGAGAGTAATTAGATTTTTTTTTTCTTCTATTAATTATGTTAAACAAAAAATTCTAACAATGGGGTATTTATAATTTCTGGAACCATAAAGAGTAATTTATATTTTAAGAAATATTAAGAAGTGTATTTATAATTTACCTTAATTTTAAATAGTGAAAATCATATGATGCGTGCAAGTATTTGACCTATGGAAAAGAAAAAAAATAAAAATTAATCATCACGTGCCTTTGCTTGTAACGCCCTCAAAATAATAACAATAAACCCATCAGATAAGACATGCATTTACATTTAAACTAACTGCATTCCTTTCATTCATTAGAATTCCAAGACATAAGTATTACATGTTAACCTCATAACAAAATGCCCTACGGGCTTACAGCTTTCCAAGTTAACACTTGGTTACAACAAAGAGTTCTAACTCATTTACAATTTAAGCCCTTGGCTTGAAATTACATGTAATACATCAAAAGTAAAACAACTACACTATGTCCGATCTAATTATCTGAAATGTTATGTTGACTTACATTTGTTAGATTCATGCTAAAATTAGTTGTAACAGCTATTTATGGAGACAAGATAGGCCTTAAGTTCTAAGTGGGAAGATATAAAATGGCAAAAGACATCTCAACATTGGGCCCATAATTGCTTTCTTTTGGATATGATATTCTCCAATTGTGATCTCTAGGATTGAATGCATCAGTTTGAATATCGCTCAGGTAATCATGCAATGCAATTCTATTAATCCTAATTCATTTAGGATCATTTGTAATATCTGTTACATAGTTCAACATTCACCCTGTGTAATTTGAGTAATGAATTGAGTTATTGGTAAAAGAAAAAAAATTACCAAGAATGTCGTAGTGAAGCATAACCCAAAACTTTGCCAAACTATTGTAAGCATTGATGA